CACACACACACACACACACACACACACACACACACACACACACACGACACACACACCACATATATAGCGTACAAAGGAACTTACTTGGCACATAAACGGATAGGGTATATGAAGGCTGTTCTCCCAGCGAGCAGGGCCGTTTTAAGAATCCCATAGACCCTACATTTCCGTTCTGTAAGAATAGACGACGGTAGCGGACTGAAACAATATCGCAGTTCGTAAAACGGCGAGCAAATTAAACAGACGCAGGCAACATTATAACGATGTTAAACTACCGCGAACCCGGAAGTTGAGGGAGGGAAGAAGATTAGAAGATAGAGGGATAGTAACCGATATAGAGGAAATTTGACAGTTTGTGTACTGCCCACTGTTTGTATATTTTAGAGTGCCTTAAATATAGTCGGTGCGTCATGCAGCCGAGCGTAATGAAATTACGACGCGAGTCAAAATTCGAGATAATTTTTAGATCGGCTCAGGGAAGCCGATTGAAATTGAGTTTCACAAAACAAAGAAAGATGATAAAGGATGAAAATAGCTGGACAGAGAACAATATAGGGGAGTACACGTACTCGTGTGGATCTGATGCGAATAAAGCTACCTAGGGCGGATACATATGTACCTGCATAACACTTGTATGAAGACAGGACGCGTAGGATGGAATTGATTGACAGGAAGTTATCTTCCGTTCACTATGACGACCGAATAATGCAACGCTATCGGGAAATGAGCTTTTCTTATAAATCCGCATTACGGCATCAATAGAACTCAAGTTAGAAAATGAGAATAAAGTGAATTATAAATTAAAATTCTCAGTTCATGAAAGTTTGAAAAAAGTTTCTAATTAAAATTTATTTAAAAATCAGTAAAATTGTCTCATTTGTTAAGGGTTTAACTGCAAAAATTACTTCGAAAATCGGAACTATCGGGAACTCTAGAACTTTTTGGGTAAGAGCCAGAATTTTATCAATTATATCGAAATTCTGAAAATGGGGACGCTAACGTCATAGAATTTACTTTTTCTTTGTGCACCTGTCTGTCCGTCTGCCGGCTCGCTTGCGTATATGCCGGAACGTCGTGTCTCCTTGGAATTTATGATCATGTTTCGTTTTGAAATCACGAGAAACTTTCTCCGATATAGGACAATGTGCTTCTAAAGCATAATCCAGTGTTTCCATAAGCTGCAGTTTATACATAGTTCCCAACTGACTGCTATATTGTAATAATATATATATATATATATATATATATATATATATATATTTAACCGACCGAGGCACAATAATTAACGTTCGCGGATTACAAACAATATAAATCTATAGGAACAAATATCTCTAATCTAGGCGACATATAAATGAACGTGCCACATACTCTTGTGAATACTGAACATCTGATTCATCTCGACATGTTCGCGGAGAGAAAAAAATTAGTTCAACCGCTTAAATTATGCGTCTAGGTACTGTACTCGGACATATATTTATATATATTTCCTACAACGGGCGCCGTAGCCAACACACATTTCCAAAAAGACCGAAAATGCAACGAGAGAGTGCACGACCGCGCTAAAACTAAATATAACTGCAGTCCTTCGTAGAATGCACCACGATTTACCCGCGTCGCGCAGAACGAAACCCGTTTAGAAATTATTCTATGGAAAATAGTGCGAGTTGTTTATCGATCTATCGAGAAAGGATTCTGCACAGCTGTGAAAAATTTCTCTCTCCGCTCTCCGTATGCATTTACGAATATTTATTTATATTCTTTTCAGATCGCCAGAGATAATCGGCTCTGGCAAATTCAATTCGAAAAGTCTAAATATACGCGACAAACCTCCTACGCTTGTTTCAAAGTGTGCAAACTTTACGTTTGACAATACTTCGCTTCAATTCCGTACTTCCGTACTTACACACCGTACTTGCACACCGAGGTTTCCGTGTACCAGGCGGAGAATACATCCGGCCATCCTCGTTGCGACCAACGGGTCGTTGACATTCCCAGAAGGCTCAAATTAATATTGTAAACCCACGACGGGTTCCACGCGCCTTTCGGAAAATCGGGACTTCCCGTGAAACGGTTCCGCGGATGAGCTCGAGCATCCGATTATGTCGACTTCATATTCCGATACTCGTGGGAAACCGCTGCCAAAATAAATGTAACTCGGCGTATTACGGTCGGGAAGTGGCGTTACTAAGCCCGCGAGAATTTCGATCGGAATGCACACGCGGCTCCTCGCCTGGTTTTCCATTCAACCGTAACACACGCGCGAGCGATATTTAGTCACGCTTCCTGATCTTCCTCGCATCGCTTTTTTTTTTTTATCCCACCGTATCTCCCACTTATTCAAAAAGTACAAACTGATTTTCTCAAGGGAGCGAATGACTTTGGGACTGCTAACGGGATTTAGAACGAAAAATACGATTTCTGCGGCGCTTGATTCTTCTCGAACGCTTTTTATCTCTCGATCTCACTCGAGAAAGTAAGTTTATTCTTTTATTTTTTTCATATACAGGTAAGATCACGCTTGGATCAAACCGAGATGCGGACATTTTGGTGGCCGGCACCGGCGTCGAATCCGTGCATTGTGCGATCGAGAACAATAACGGCGTGGTCACTCTTCATCCCATAAATGGCAATACGTTTGTCGATGGTGTATCGATAAATTCGCCAGTGAGACTCGCGCAAGGTAAGAGACCTTGGCCTAAATACGAATGACCGTGACCAGTGCGCAGACGTCCTAAAAAGAGTAGTAGGATAACAAGAAAATTCTTCTACAGCTAAAAATGATATTTTGATTATAAATTTCTCGATATTCGATATATCGATGCAATTATCATTACGTGGAAAATAGAGATATATTTTTCTATTTATCGCATTAAAATCCGTTTGGTTAGATTAAATTAAATAAAATATTTTTCTATGTATTAAAGTTACGAATATATTTTTATAAAATCATTGTAAAAAATGTGTTAAATGTGTTTCAGGTTGTATGCTATCGATAGGCCGATCGAATTATATGCGCTTCAATCACCCAGCCGAGGCTAAACACCTACGATCCGTCCTTCCCCACTCAAGAATCTCAATGGCGCCGATAAGTTTTGCTCTACCTGACGGCCAGCCACAGGAGAATCACCATTTGGAGCGAAAGCCACCAGTCGCACCGCGGAAATCTCCCAGGAATTCTTGCTCCGATGAGGAGATGGGTTTTCTAAGCAAGCTGACCAAATTCGAGATGCTGTCGAAGCAAAACAGGACTAACTGTGTTTCGCCGAAAGTTTTTCCCGCCGGCGCTCTTACGACAAACGTACCGGCCGACCAAATTCTCGGCCACTCGAGATCGTCGAGTCTGGTGTCCTTGACAAAATCTCCAGTGAACGGTTTCACCGCAAATGGTAATGCCGATCTGTTATCACAGAGCTCGATCGGTTATCACGACGAAGCTCGGCGTCAGCGATCGGACTCGCGTCTCAGTACACCAACTCGACCGAATGCGAACAACTTGCAGTGTCAGAATCACAATCAGATCAGGATGTTCTCGGCGGAAACATATTTGAAAACGTGCAAGCCGTATTATCACGAGAGTAACAAAAATGCTCGATCACCATCCTTCGGAGTGACATCTTCTCCGAAGATCGTCACTGCCCGAAGCGACGACCTCATGTCTCGAAGTATGACCTGTCAAAGTTCGAACGAACTCGATCATCTTGTCGACCGGGATTTCGATATGAGCCAGAGCCTTATCGTTACGAAAACGACTACCACGGAATTTGTACAATTGGAGAAATATGGATCGAATCCGAGCATCTGCAATCCCAACACCGGTGAAAATACCAATGTCGCGATCTTGAGGCCGTCTACCGCTCATGGCTTCGGATCGAATCCAAATATCAAGCGTATTCTACCACCGAGTCCGGCGTTTAATCGGAATCCGAGGTACTGCGAGCAAAGAAAATTTACGCGAGGGTCAAGAGTCCTACCCCGAGTGTTGGCAGCAGTTGCTCCCTCGAAGAATTGCGAGAAAGGCAAGCCGACGCGGAGAATAAACGCAGGGAGGCGGAGACCAAGCGGAAACAAGCACAGGAAGAGAGGTTGCGAGAGCAAGAGGTCGAGAGACAAGAGAAAATGAGGCTCGAGGAGATCTTGGCAATGTGTGCCGAATACGAAAGACAGACTACCGTCGAAAAGCCGAGGCAGCCTAATCGGTAACTATCCGTATCTCCTTTCAATATTATTTCCTCTTAATCTCAATCTTCTTCTTTCTTCAATTTCAATTTTTACTTTTTGTTTCTAATAATTTTTTCATGTTGTTTTACATTTGAGAAAAATTTATAGAAACATATTTAATGATTAGATATTTCTTTTCCTTTCATTTATTTCTTTCATTTATTTATTCACTTCTTGCAGAGAACATATCGAGTATATCTAGTACATAATAATATAATTTGCAGAATTATAACAAATGGATCTCTTCCGCGTGACAAGAGACTCGGTTACACTTCGCCTTTCGACAGTCCGAAGAGTCCGTCAAAAAATCAGCCGCATTTCTCTTTCGATGCTGGCAAGCAAACCAATTGGGGCACCTCGTCGTACGAAAACGTATCTGTGCAAAATTCGAAAGTTATTTTTCAAAATGGCAGTTTACCCACCAATCGCAGGGATCAATCTGCCCAAGTTGACGATCATTCGAGTGATGTTTCTGCAGGATCGCCACATGCAATTGTACCGAGTAATAATCAACTGGCGAATTGTTCTAGTGTTCACAATGCGAATGGCAGCTTCTCAGACTCGATTTCTCGTAGCGGTAATTACGAAAATGTTATTCCCGGCAATAATGATAAAAAGAGCAGCAGTTATTGCGATCGAACGGAGAATTACGTAAAGGCTGATGATAATATCAAAGGCTCGCCGTCCACATACGGCACGATTAGACTGAACGGCACGAAAATCGAACCGCAGCAAGCGACACAAAATGGAAACGCGAGTCATTACGAAAACGTCGTGTTATCCCCATCGACGCGGAATAACAATCAAAATCATTCCATACCAAAGAAAAATGGTCAATTGTCAAACTCGTGCGAGATGATAGAAAACAAGCTGGCCATATCGAACGACGACCTCCTGGAGGCGATCGAGCAGTTATCTATGCTTTCAAAATCCAAAGAAATCTGCGTGACTCCTAAACGAAACAATTCTGAAAAAGATAACGCGAAATCGAACGAGGTGAAAGCCGACAAAAAGAGGAAACAACTGGAAGAGGAAGACAGGAAAAAATACATAGAATTTTTGCAAAATGAGAAGCTGCACATTCTTAGCAATATGGATGCTCTGAAAAGAAGTGTCGCCGAAATCGAAATTCAGGAAGAAGAAATTAGTAGAGAGGTAACTTTTTCGTATTCTGACGTTGCTTTCTAAACAAGATTGAACAAACGAGTTCGCAGTTTCGTGATTGTTATCTTACATTACGCGTATCATATATTAAAAGAGTTGTTTATTTGTTCGCTTTATCCCTTTCTGGGCATGGAATACTAAGACATCCGACTTGTAAGTATTTGTTCTATTAGATAATAAGATACTTATAATTAATATTAAAGTATATTCCTAATGACAAATTCCAACAATCTTCGTTATCTGCGTTCAAACATCGTTTCTCAAGTTATATTTAGATACACCTCTTCCTGTAGATTCTTTTTCTAATAACAGATCTCCATGTGATGTCTGGTTAGCGTTTGTGCTTAATGTTCAATGCGTGATATTCAGATACAGAGTGATACAACAATAAATTTCTCATGTAAAAATAAATTTAAATAATTATAATAATTTTTCAAAGCTTCAATTTCAACATATCGATTTTGAAAATTTGTAATATACGTTGACAAGTAATAATAATTAGAATAATAATTTTTCAAAGCTTCAATTTCAACATATCGATTTTGAAAATTTTTTTTAATATACGTTGACAAGTTAGCAAGCTAATAGAAAAATAATAGAAAACAAAATATATTAGTGTTTAGAAATTGAATATAAATATTACGTGTACGAGAAAATGATGTGTCTTGTAAGCATTATTATTATCTTGTTGATATCTTGTGTTTCAATAAAATTTAATTTAGAAATAGATTCTCAAAGATATTAAAAAATAAGTATGCTGTATGCTTAATGTTTAACAGCTCGAATTGGAGAAAGCGCTTTTATTCGCGGAGTATGAATCAGAATCCTTGAAGCTCTCGCAGGACGAAGGAGAGAAGATACAGGTGCAAATGCGAATAAATGAACTAGAGAGAGAAATGGCGGAGGATAACGCGACTCACTCGAATTTACAAGCTGAAGCCAAACAACGTGTTCAAAAAGCGCAACAAGTTTGCGCTCGATTGGACGAACAATTGGCCAATTGCACAGATGAAATTATGCAGCAGGATATTGCTGACAAGTTAACGGCGCAACAAGATATTCTAGAGAGTGAAAGAAAAGCTTTCGAGGACTTGGAGTTTCATCATCTTGAAGAAGAGGCGAGTAAATTGGCCACAAGAGAAGAGTTGCAAAGGTAATAATTGTACAACATATTCAACTTTCTTAATACAAATTTTTCTTGAAATATCATGTACATGTATTTTTACAGATATTTGAGCGATCTTACGAACAAGATCGAAAGTAGAAAATCGCAATTGACTCATTTGGAATCGCAACGATCCGAGGCAAAGAATACGGCGACCAAAGAGGCTAGGAGTTTAGAGAGACAGAAATTAGGACATTTGAAACGATTGGAAGAAGTCAGTAAAATAATATAAATATAAGAAATATTAATCCATTAAATTGATGTAAACTCAAACATAAATGATAAACTAGATTATAAATGCAACTTTCTTATATATTTTCCAACAAAAGCAATATAAAAATTATTAAGTTGCAAATAAATATCTCGCATTGCATACTGTGTTTTAACTTTGCTAGAATTATCGAGCAATCAATTTTGACCATTTCTATTTTTTTTTTAATTAATATCTTTTTTCTTATAGACAGAAAATGAAAAAAAATTTAATGGTATCTCTTTGATATTAAAAAAAAAATATTCATTAAAAAAATAAAAACAATCGAAGATGATCGTTATATACTTGTAGTGTTAATGGATTAATATACTGCGTCTTTAATTAATTAATGACTTTTGATAGGCTCGAAATCGAGTGCGAGAAATAAACGAGGAGCTTGGCTACTTGGCCCAAAATTCTAATGAATATTCTGAAGAGAAACGGTCTCCGAGTAGAGAAGATTTCGACAGAATATCCAGAGTGACCAATGATTCTCCTATCGTAAACAATCAAGGTAGTTTAGGAAGGAAAACAATCGAGTCACTAAAGGAAATCGAGAGAAATCGACAGCTTCATTTGGCTAAACAAGGTATGCAAATTATATCAATCTATAAATGTTATAATACCATACATAAGAAGAATGAAAAATAAAAATATTAATATTTTTCCAGGGAGTCAAGTAATTTCGGAGGAAAGACGTAGAGTCGAAGAATTAAAAAGGCGCGTGCAGGATGAAGTTCGCTCGCAATGGGAAGAAAGAAAAATGAATTGTGCATCTTTCAATAGCGTCGAATCTGGCGAAGAGTCTTCCAGTTATTCCACCGGACCAACAGAAAGGTAAGTCAAAAAAAATATCAAATGAAAATATTTACTTTTTCATTTTACATGATGGACGCTTCAAAATTTAAGAATATTTTTATTATAATTCTTTACAATTTGTTAATTAATTCGAGATTTAAAAGAATCATTATCATGTTATATTATTATTTTGTAATTCTTTTTCTCTTTATAAATAGTCGCGGAAAATGGTTTCCGCGATCTAGAAAATTGTCATCTACATTCTTTCACATAATAATAATAATATTCTAAATATTTGCATATATATTATAAATTGGACTGCTGACTACAGACGAGCGTTAATTATATCGTATAAAAATCAATGCGTACATATGCTATTTGTACCACAAAGTATGCGTGATACAAGACGCGTACATTATCGCGCAGTATCGCAGTTAATCGCAACGACCTTTCCATCGTTGATTGGAACTTATTACGAAACCTTCCTCGATCGACACACCTCGAACACGTTGTGTATAGACTATAATAGTCTGAGTGTATTCTATATACGTCCGACACAAAAGCTTCCCAATCAATGCTGCGAATAAGTATTTAAGATATTCCATGATCAAATACTTTCCCTTACTACATTCCATTTTTTTAATGTTTTCACCATAATAAATAATAAATATAAATAAATTAGAAAGAAGAGAAGAAGTTGAGTTCGGGAGAAGTTTATTCTGTGAAGTTTATCAGAGATTCGGAGAGTTACATTTGGCCTCGTGTCTACACTATTAATGCTGCTGACAATATCCAAGATATTGTTAAGAGCAATTACTGATCGCGTGCGAGGGTCGCATATCGGTGTTGGTTTGATCGACACGACTCGGCTCGAGTCTTCATTCTCTTCATTCGTAGCGCAAAGTAGGCGGGGCGTTATCGCGCGATACGATATCTGTATGTAGCTGTATGTCTTCCCGTGGCTCTACTCGCGTTAACGTGTCACGTATGGAAAATCAAGGGAAGATGCAGGAATGTTCGGAACATTATAACGCGATAAGTATAAAGAAAGCGAACGACGACATCGTAAACGAGAGAAATTAAGATGTGCATTTGATGAGCTCATCATCGATAATGCTCCAAAATGAATCCGAGAGAAATGGGTGAGATGGTGCTGAACGAGGCCAGAGTTACGGGATGCAATTTGATCACCTGCCTCACTAGTAATCGTTGTTATCTCTGCACTAAAGATTGGATCTGCGACAATTGTTATCATCCTCTGGAAACTCACGCGCGCGATATTCGTCAACGTTATTTGTAAGTCATAGATTTTTGAAAAAAAAAAAAAAAATTTATTTTTTCTGTCAAAGAAAGAGAACTGATGAATACCTATGTGAAAAATTCACGAGACGAAATCAATTCCTCGAGTGGTATTTTAATATGAAAATATAAATTCTAGATTGCTTAATGCTTATTTTTAATTATTTTTCTTTCATGCATATTTTTTTTGTTCAAAGTAAACTGAAACAAACGTAAGTCATAAAAACGTAAAAAAATATCATGAGGAAAATACGGGAGAAATAACTATTATTGAGTAAATGCAAAT